TTGCAGATGCAGTAAGTCAGAGACAAAAGTAGAAATTGCTGGAAAAGCCCAGCAGGTCTGGCAGCATCTGTGGAGAGAAGAGGTAATGTTTCATGCCGAGTGACCCTTCCTCAGAACTGATGGTAGCTAGGAAAATGTCAGTTTATATGCAGAAGATTGGGTGAGGGGAGGCAGTAAGGAGTAAACAATAGGTGGGGATAGAGCCCAAAGAGCGAGAAGAGCAGTTGGACAGACAAAGGAGTGGATAACGATCTGGCTAGGAGGGTGAAGAGCTGTTAATAGTTAGTGGCTAACATTGGGTAGTGTGTAATAGCAGACTGATAACATTGCCTGGTTGTGGGGATAAGGGTAAAGACATGGGAGAGCTCAGGCCCTACAGTTATTGAACTCGATATTGAGTCCAGAAGGCTGCAGGGTCCTAAGGTGGAAAAAGTTTATCTTTTTTTTTTTTTTTCGTTTCCAATTTCCACCCTGCTCTTATCTACACTTAATACATCTCTGGCTTCTCCCTTCCCTTCCACGACATCTGTTTCAATTTCTGGGGATAGACTGGCCACTAATGTCCACTATAAAACCACCAACTCCCACTGTTATCTGGACAATACATCCTCGCTCCCTGCTTTCTGTAAAGACTATTCCATTTTTCCGTTTCCTCCTGTCGCATTTGTTCCGATGTTCTAAATCACATTATATTCTATGCCACAGTACTTAATGTTATGTAACAGTTAACAGATAGTTACTTAGAGATAGTAGGAACTGCCGATGCTGCAGAATCTGAGATAACAAGTTGTAGAACTGGATGAATACAGCAGGCCAGGCAGCATCAGAGGAGCAGGAAAGCTGACATTTCGGGTCGGGACCCTTCTTCGGAAAATGAAGAAGGAAATGAATTTTTCTGAAGCAGGCTCCCGACCGGAAACGCCAGCTTTCCTGCTCCTCTGATGCTGCCTGGCCTGCTGTGTGCATCCACCTCTACATCTTGATAGTTACTACTTTGCTGAAAGTAAATGTTCAATGTTGTATTCACTTCATGAGCTGTAGCTATGGAGTCAAAGATAGTTATAACACGACTATTTGGTTTAAATTTATAGTGTTTAAATCCAGCCTAAAAATCCTTTTAGACAATTAAAAAATTTAAAGAAAGCTGTACTTGCGATCAAGTGTAATTTTTTTAGAGTATTTTTGTCTCTCCTTCAAAAGGGAGATGGTGGTATACTTGACCTTCCTAACTTAGCTAATCTGTCTCCGTGTTTGTGTATGTTGCCTTTTTAAGAGTTGTACTCTGTCTTTTGTAGCAGCATGAACTGACCTTGGTTGTTCATTGTGTGTCCACAAAAACAAAGTCTTGTCTCTTTATGAATACTTGACATTCAGCTGGTCCTTCCATCAGACTTCTGTCACATGTATGTGGCTACCCTCCAGCTACAACTCTTCAAGGTTCATAGCATTTCTGTATTCTCCTTTTTAGCTTGGCATGTACTGAATGATGGTTAAAGTGCATTTTATTTCTGTTTAATTATTATTAATTTCGTTAACACTTTTTTCATTAAATTGGTTGCCTCTTTTACACCACCACTCTTTTCTGCCTGGCTGAACATCCTCGTTTTATTGAGTAATTTCACTCAAATTGTGTGCCATCCTCCAATAGGTGTTGCTTTGGGTCGTTGTATGAGCTCTAGTTATGTTTGTCTTGATGTAGAGTATGTGGTGCATTCCTTATTGTGGTCCTTCTGGAGGATGGGGTGGTGTCCATTCCCCAACTCTTTTCCAGTACATTGATGCACTTCGCTTCCAATTTCCACTTTCTCTCACCTTCACATGGTTGAACTCTCCATCCCTTTCCCATCCTCAAATTGTTTGTGTCCGTTTCTGGGGATAATGATCGTTATTCCAGCAACTCCCACAGCAATGTCATCTTCACTTCCTGACCTCCTCTTAAGGAGTCCGTTCCATTTTCCCTGTTTCTCTACCTCTGCATCTGTTCTGATACACTGTTCCTCAACAATGCTTCTAATGACGTTCGATTTCCACACACTTCCCCATGCCACACTGTCATGACCCTCTCAGGTACCTGATCCATTTCCCTGACTTCTGTGCAACTTCCTCCTCCTCCTCCGAAATGTGAAAAGATTCCTCACTTTCCGTTCCTTTGACAACCTCTAGCATGATGTTGTCACCAAGCACATCTTTCTGGCCCCTGCCAGAATTCCAAAGTGGCTTTTTGCTCCATGACACCCTGGTGCACTCCTCTATCAACCCCTTCCCACAGCACTTTCCCATGATATCGCTGGAGGTATGACCACTCCTTATAACTCCTGTCATCTCATCATCCAAGCCCCCAGTCATTTCTCGATGAAAATGAGATTTATCTTTCAAATTAGTCTGCTGTACTTGCTGTTCATAACTTGGTCTCCTCTACATTGGGGACAGCAAGTACGGATTGGTTAACTGCAGAACACCTCCACTCATTTGCAGCCTTGACCCTGAGCGTTCGGTTGTTTGATTTTTCGCTTTGTCACTTTGCTTTCACGTTCACATATCAGCGCCTGCTGCAGAGTTTCAGTCAAGCTGAACACAAACTCAGGAAAAGACACTTCATCTTTTGAGTAAGCACCTTACAGCCTTCTGGATTTAGTCTTGAGTTCAGCAATTTCAGCCCATGAATTGTCTCCCATGTTATTAATTTTATGCTATCTGCTGCTTTGGATTTTTTTCTGCTTTTGGGAATAACTGGCATTTAAACTCACTTTACCTGTTTACTGCAACCATTTTCACTCCCTTTTGTCCATGTCATCTTTATCATTTAATCTTCCTATCCCTCTTCTCTAACCAATTACTTCCCTCTGGTCTTCCTCCCCATCTTGCCATCGGATGGTATAATATCCATCAGGTTTCTGTCTTCCTTCCAGTGTCATGGCTGATCATTGACCTCGATTATCTAATCCCGTCCCCTCTACATATCCCTTGATCTCTTTACCACAAGACTTGTATCTGCCTTCTTGAAAAATCTCAAAGTTTTGGCCTCAAACACTCTCTCTGGTCAATGAATTCTACAGGCTTACCACTCTGGGTGCAGAATTATTTCTTCAACTCAGACCTGAAAGGTTTACCTCTTATCCTTAAGCTATGACCCCAGTTCTGGTCCTCTCCAGTGTCTGGAACGTCATGCATCTAACCTTTTGAATCCCGTTAGAATTCTTCAGGTTACTGAGATCTCCACTCATTCTTCTAAACTCCAATGAATACAATCCTAACTGAAACAAAAACAGAAGTTGCTGGAAAAGCAACTTCCAGCAACTTCTGTTTTTGTTTCTGATTTACGGCATCGACAGTTCTTTTGGTTTTTGTTTACAATCCTAACTGACTCGCTGTCCTCATGCATCAGCCCTGCTACCCCAGGAATCAATTTGGTAAACCTTTGCTGCACTCCCTATATAGCAAGAACATCCTTCCTAAGATAAGACTAAGACTGCACACAATATTCCAGATGAGGTCTCACCAATGTCCTGTATAATTGCAGAAAGACATGCATTTTCCTGTACTCTAATCCTATTGCAATGAAGGCCAAAATACCAATGGCCTTCTTTACTGTGTACTGCACCTGCATGCTTACATTCAGCAACTGATGCACAAGAGCATCCAGGTCTTCTTGAATATTCCCCTCTCTCAATTTACAGCCATTTAAATAATAATCTGCCTTCCTACTCTAGCGAACAAAGTGGATAACCTCACATTTATCCACATTGTGCTGTTATACATTTGCCCACTCACTCAGCCTACCCAAATCACATTGCTTCATCTCTGCATCCTCCTCACAGCTTTCTATGATTCATGGTTTTCTTTCTAACTCCCTTTTTGAATCATGTGATTACATTAGTTATCCCACACTCTGGAACAATTCCTACAGATTGGAGAGGATCTTGGAAGATGACCACCAATGTATCTGCTATTTCTTGGGCCACTTCCTGAAGAAATCTGGAATGTAGATTATAAAGCCCTGGGGATTTATAAGCCTTCAGTCCTATTTGACTCAATGTTAACTCTTTATAGATGCTGCCAGATGCACTAGGTATTTTGAGCACATTCTGTTTTTATTTCCCATAAGTGAAGGTTCTTTTACTACTTGTACTTGGGAGAATGCCCTACTTTTGTACAGGAAGAAAAGTTTACACATCATGTATTTGGCCTTGTACACTTTGAGGATGGTGCCCTTTGCCTAACTTTGTTTAAAATATTTTTTATAATTTGTGTCTGTGCTGTAGTTACCATTCTCAGGAACCTGCCCTAAGTCTACTGCATGTTTCCCCATTGTTGTTACTGAAGCTTGGATTTCCACACAGTTAACTATTTGAAATAGTTTTGTACTTCCAAGCAAGGAAATGGATAGGCCACTGTTATTAAGCTTTCTATTACCTGGTGGAGTTACTCTGCTGTATCCTTCCAACCAAAGAAATTTGTGAATGCATGAGACGTTGTATAGGGATTAACTGACATTCAGTTAGATCTAAACGTTCAGTCAACATTGGCTACAATATTTGGTATATTGATGAACCAATTTTTTTTAAAAAACATCTATTTTTAGTTTTAGAATTTAATTTTGAAGGTTATGTTCCTGGGTATTCTATGTATCCTTTTCATTGAGAGCTCCACATTTAATTTTCACTCCTGACTGTTTACAGCGGACATTAAGTACATTATTCATTTGACGGTGATTCAGACAGACACTTGCTGTCTAGCCAGGCTGAATGGTCTGGTTTCCAAAGGGATTTATGTGCATGTTGCTATAGAAAATTTAATGTGGTTAAACTGAAATATTTTGCTTCACTGAAGATATCTGTTACAGTAAAATTTTGCATCTACACTTCTAACTATGGTGCAATATATTGTGAATGTTTGCTAATGAAATGCTAATTATCTTCACATTTGTTCTGAAGTTTTTTTTTTGCAAATGTAACTGAACACAGGTCCATTAATGTAAGAATCTTTCAAATTGTTGCTAGGATTTAGAAACACAGCAGAGAGAAAGGCATTGATATGCTTTGAGTAGGTAAGTAGAATGATAGGCTGCACCACATGTTTGTGCAGTATTTTATACAGCAAATATATAACTAAAGATTTCCTCTGTACGTATCTGCTTTGCATTTTTCAGTAGCTACGTACTGTTGTGATCAAGTGTTCTATTACTGTAACCCTGAGACTCTCTTTACTGTCTCTTTGGGCTCTTTTTGTCATGACTAATTCCTTTTTACTTTCATCTGTTTTGAAACAGATGTCACAAATTGGCACATGGTCTCAAAGATCTAAATTCTCTTGATCGTATTGCTTAATTACTAATTTTGCTCTTTCTGTATGATCTCAATCTGCGAACTTCGGTTACTATACATTAAAATGAAAAGAAATTGAGAATTAACCCTTGGTATACTCTTTTCATAATTCCCTGCAATTTGGAGGCCCCTTTTTTGTTTATGGTAGTTTGTTTCCAAAACAAGTTTCATTCTACCTATTTGTATAAATGTTTCTCCTTCACCTGATGGGACCATGTATTGTTTTCATGTAGTTTCTCTAACTTTTTAAAAATCTTATTTGACACTGGAGTCCTCTACAATCTACTTCCTATCTACTAAATTTGCTCCAAAAGCAGGGGTGGGACCTCACCAGCAGAAGTTGTGTGAAGCAGGCACTTGAGCCTTTTTTCTTTGAGGTTAACATCTCATTCAACTTTTACTGTCTTGGATGGAAGTTTGGGCCCCAAGGCACTTTTTGAAGAGATGAAGAATATCTCTTGAATCCTCAGTGCATTCCAGTACTAGAAATTCTGTGGTGCTTTTTCTTTTTATTTAAAATAAAGCAGTTGATAAGATGTAGGGTACCTTTAAATCAAGCATGGGATATAATACATTGCTGTTGCAGAAGAATTTGCAGTGCACATTTGTATAGTATGATTGTATTGTTAATATGAAAAAGTAATGTGCAATAGCTGAAATGTATTTGCTTGGGACAGGTACTTGTTATTACAACTTCCTTGATGCAGTAATTTTCCTTTCTTTCTTTTTTTTAAAGATAGCTGAAGATCAGGGGAAAGATGAGTGGATATCCTTCCTATGTTTTAACTGTCTCTGAGCTTCAACCAATGCTCCATTTTGTATGGCAATTACAGGCTGTTGGATCCTGGTGAATTCTACCAAGTTATCTTGAAGGACTGAGCTTGAGCTGTGACAAGCAAGGGAAAGGAGCAAGCAGAAGGAAGTCTGACTTTTCTTATTGGACTGTTAATGGCTGTGATGTAGCCCATATTATGGGTGGACAGTGAATGTTATAATTTGGAATGTAACTATTTAAGTCACTGTTTTCATTGTCTCAGATTTGTTTCAATTGAATAAAATTACTGCAAAAAATTTCCCAGGTGAACAATGGATAAAGACTAGAGCATTTTTTATTTTGATTCAAATGATTTTTTAAAAATTACATAGTGCAGTAGTTTTAATACAGTGAGCATAACATATCTTTAAATACTGCAGATACCTATTTGTCTCAATGGTTGCGAGACATTTTGGGTGTTTTTTTTGCAACTTCATTGGCATTTAGCAGCATATCATTATCACAGTGCACTAGATGCAAGGCTTGCAAAATGCTAATGTTACCTCTTCTCCAGCATTCACTGGACCTGTACCCAATGAACAAGTAATGTTGAATAATGATGCATTTAAAGCAGTTCAGTGGTACAGTAAATCATGAAGTTGTAACATAAATTTTACCATAGGGAAAAGTTACGCAAAAAGAACCATTTGTAAGAAGAGCCTGTACTGAGTAACATGTTGGCCCTTTCAGTTGCCCTAAAGCAATATTATGAATCGTATTAACCTGTATCTTTAAGCACATCATCTTTAAGTGTATCAATTAAAGTTAGCTTTGGTGTCTTTCTTTAAGGTATATTTTGTACATTGATGCTGAAGTAACTAAGCAGACCATGATATTAAGTTTAGATGTGCTATTAATAGCACTGGACATTGCATAACCAGTGTGTTAGAAGATACAAATGTAGTCCAGGCCACCGTAAATTGGTAGAGCTGTTCTGTTGTTTGTTCCACCATTGCATTTTCACTTCCAGTCCTATTATGTGCATGAAGTTTACCAAAAACTGATGTGCTTCCATAGAAATGAACCAAAATTATTTTATTGGGGAGGAAAGTGCAGTTCAAAGAAAATCAGGCTATATGAAGATTGTTTCCATAATATCTATCTTGTTGAAAGGATTAACAGCTTTGATGAGTGCATTACTTTTATCTTTTGAATGGTATCTCCAGTATGTTATGAATCTTGTACAGTGAAATTCATTATGACTGAGCCCAAATTCCTCCAAAGAAGCAGTGAATTATTCCATCGTAACTGAAAAGGCAATACCTGCAAGCATACTGGTGTCTTTACCTTGTCTATACTGCCTTTTACAGCACTTAAACACTGTCAGTTGGTAAGTGTACCTCTGCAATATAGACCCACATAAATCAGGCACTATATTTCAGTTTTTGGGCAAGGGTGGTCTTAGCAACTATATAATTGAAATTGGCAGCTTGATAGGTAGGAATGAAAATTTGATCCTGTTGCAAAATACTTGTGTGCAAACTCCAAACAAATTAAGCTCAGTTGCAATATTCTCTTTAAATGACTAAAACATATACAAGAGGACACTTACAGTTCTGGAGGTTGCTGGACCCTGTGGAACTGCATCAAACCATGAGCTGATACCTTCAGGAGGGTAAAGGTGAATCCAAGAAATGGGATGGAAACATTTTTCGAAGCAACTATTTTGAATGCATGTATGGAACTAGTGGATAGCTGTTCTCTATTGTTATTTTGTTGGAGCAGAGCATCATTTTGCATGTAGGTGCATTCTAGACAAAATGTCCACCTGTATCCATTACAAGCATTTAGAGGAATTGACCAGACAACCTCTTCAAAGCCTGGAATAATTCAACTTTTTTTTTTGTCAACTTCAGGTACATATATCTAGGGAACCAGAGACTTGTCCAAAGATGCTTTCAACATTTCCCCTAGTAAGTTACCAGTTCTTGTCTCAAAATTCTGTTTTGAGGTATTCAAAGAAACCTGAATGAAAACACATATTCAAATTTGCAGATCTTCAGTGTACATGACTTACATTTTGTACAGTTTATCAATCTGTTCCTGCAAAAAATCTTTCATCTTTTCTTCATCTTAATTATTTCCAGTACCTTCTGAGAAGGAATACTTAACAATCTCTTATTGTAGTACAATTGCAAAAAAAGTCTTTATCCTATTTATAACACCATTTTCAACAATCATATGCTCGTTCGTACTTCTGGTGAAATCACTTTTTAGCGTGCAAAGTGGTTTTAGCCGTAAAAACATGGCTGCTGCTTCCTTGAGTGGAATAATTCTTCCAATCATCCTTGTGCTAATAGTGAAGCCTTAGGAGCTTTTATTTGGGTGGGGGAGATGGGGGAGGAGAGGTTAAAATTGCATGTACCATAGCTTTCATCCATCAATTTACCCAATTGTTTACAAGAGTTGATGCAGATGATAGGTGCCTTCCTACTTACACAGGGACAACTTCAGCCAGTGGCTGCTGCCAACTATAATCATTTTTTTTTAATGACTCCTCTGTTTTATGGTGGTGTGGAGACACAAGATTGGACTCCTATGTGCATTTGTGAAGCCATAAGATCCATTTTATGTTGAACAACATATTCTAGATTCATAAGACCAATTTGCTGTTGTTTGATTAATTTCATTTTCTTGGGAAAATTGAATCCTGAGGTAAAGCTCTGCCTTGCTTATTGACGGTTTTGTTTGTCTAAACCCTGGAGAGTTCCATTGTGTTAAAATATACTCTGATATCAAGATGGTAAAAGGCTGCTGCAGGAAACTGTCTTTTGTGTGTATGGCTCTCAACGGTTATAGATAAAGTTGCAACTACTCCACTTGGATAGCAGAGCAAACCAACTGGATTTAGGTAAGATGCAGAATTAAAAGACTTCTTGGAATCACTTAGAAGCTGTGGCATGTGAGGGACAGCGTAGAACCTCAATTTCAATGACCCTGCACTGAAAATGTTAGCCTCAATTGGATTTGATTTCCTGGGTTGTAAACTGTAGTGAATGATAATAGTTTATATACTCTACAGGAGATTTTCTTTTTATTTTAAGTGATTGTAGCAATGAATTTTAAAATGTGCTCTGCTGTACTTGTAAATGCTAGTGAATTGTATTCAGTCTCTGATATGTTGCTTTACAACAGATTGACATTGTGTATTTACTAGTGCATTTCCACCGTACAAACTGCTGATGTATTGGGAGTAGCAACAAGGTAAAAAGTTAATCAGCAATAAAGTCTATTGAAACACTTTGCATTTCATTCATTTTCTTTAGGGCATTGTCATCACATGTGCATTGTTATGGCTGCAACAAAACATGTTTGAAATATATCTATGTATAAAGACTTTTGCATTTATGTTATTTGAGATTTTAATGGCAGAGGAAGGTAAGGAGAAGGAAACAGATGTTACCTAACAATATCTTGATTTGTTGATACAACATTGCACATTGAACTAGATAGCTAATTTTCTTTGCTTCATCATGATATTTCCAGTTCTTAGCCGTGCTTAAAAGAATTTTAACCAATGGACCACAATGGCAAAGTTTAGTATACAAGTTCTTTTTGTTATATATTCAGGAAGATGTGACTTTCTGGTACTCTTCGGTCTTTTGTTTTGCTGTTTCTTAAATGCTCCCTTTATGCATTTGCCATAAAATGATTTCATAGAGAAAAACAAAATGATAATTCCTCACCTTATTGATTTTCAGATGTTACTAGTTTGTTTTTTGTCTTCTACAGTAAAGACAGATAATACCTGTTATTGTTATTCCTTTTTTTTCATTATTAATTCCCAAGTCATGTTCTCCAAGGGACCCTAATGCCAAACTTAGTTAATTGTTCTGATTTTTCAAAATAATTTCTAAAGTCTGTTAAGTATTTCCAGTCAGCTTGTCAATTCTTTAAAAATCGCATTTTCATCTCCTGACATTTAGTTAGAATGATACCCAAGAAAACTAAAGTTGACAAGTGTCCTGGATCGGATGACCAGTATGTTAGTGCCTTGAAAGAAGTGGATGCAGAAATAGTAGCTGCATAGTTGTGATCTTCTGAAGCTACCTAGATTTTTAGAAATGTTCCAATGAATTGGAAAATCATAAATGTAGCCCCTGTATTCAAGAAATGAGGGAGACAGTACAGAAAACTATAGATCAAGTAGCCTGACATCTACTTAAGGGGAAATGCTGGAAACTATTATGGAGGAGGCAATAGAGGTCAGAAAATTGGAATACAATCGGGTAGAGTGAACGTGGTTTTTGAGAAATGGAAATGCTGTTTGACAAATAAGTGTTATTTGAGGAAGTAACACAGAAGGTGAATAAAGGAGAACCTCTGGATGTGGTGAAGCAGAAGCCCTTCATGAGCTGCCATATTGCAAAAACTTGGTGTAAAGGATTATATTGGCATGGATAGAAGATTGGCTACCTAACAAGAAGTTGAGGCTAGGCATAATTGTCATTTTTGGTCTGGGAAGCAGTAATTAATGGAATGCCACATGGATCAATGCTATGGCGTGTTTACAATCTGTATAATTGATTTGGATAAAGGATTGATAGTTAAAGATGGAGATGGAAAATTATCAACATGGAATAAAAGAGTCAACATAGGAATTTGGATACGTGAATTGAATGATCAATGTGAGAAAATATAAACTTTGACAGAATAGAAAAATGGAATATTATTTAAATGGAATGATATTGCAGAACTCTGTACAACAGAGTGATCTCCATGTCCTGGTACATGAATTACCAAGTTGGTATTTAGGTACATCAAGTGATTACGAAGGCAAATAGAATGTTCATGTCTATTGTAAAACTTCCCGAACTGTGGGTTACAAACCTGTCGAGTTAACTTTTTGGGGTCACAAACTCCAAGCCACCAGAGATCCAAACAAGTGTTAAGTATTGTATGGCCCTGTTTTTTAAATGTATGAGTTCCTCTTGCATTTGACTTGCAAAAATGCATCACTTCACACTTATCTGGATTAAACTCCATCTGCCATTTCTACGCCCAACTTTCCAACAGATCTATTTCCAGCTGTATCCCTCGACAGCCTGTCACTACCCAAAACTCCTCCAACCTTCATGTCATTTGCATACGTACTAATCAGATCATCCAAGTTTTCATCCAAATCACTTATATAAATAATAGCATATATATATTCTATTTTATTTATATATAAATTATATATTACAAACAAGATATCCCAAAACTGATCTTTGCAGAATATTCTTCCCCCAGAAGGCAGTGGAGGCAAGAGCACTTCTGTTCATCGCTCAGTTAGATTGATTTTTGGATGATCAATGGAGTTCAGGCTTGAATGGGGAGGGGTTACAGAGGGCAGGGGTGGGTGGGGGTTGCAGAAAGATAAGAGGAGTGTTCAGGTTGCACTCAAATCAGCTGTGACCTTATCAAATGACAGAACCAGCACAAAGGGTTGAATGGCATACTCCTGCTCCTAATTCTTGTTTTAATTAATATATGTTCAACTTGTGTCCAAGCACTGAATATATAAAGAGACTTTTCATACTGAAAATGGACTGCTATAAACATTGAAACAAAAAACTAAGGTCCTGCTGAGTATTTCCAGCATTTGTTACTGTGTCAACTTCTGGAACCAGTATTGCACAACGACAAAACAATTCATTGTAATGGTATATCCTTTGGATTGTTATAAGTGAAACTAGTCACCTTGTGTTGTGTTTTTGCTGTTTTTTCATTCTGTAACATCACTATTCTGGATGTTAAGTCACTGGAATGGGCTGAAAATGTGTGGTATGTTTAAATGCTGGAAAGAGATCACTTGCTTCTAATAGACTACGGATTACTTGTCATTTGATGATACTAAATTGTCAATTATAATTGTTTTACTTGTTATGAAAGAGTGAAAACTGTTCTGTGTAAACTTGATTTTTAAGGAACGCTAATTTATTGAAATTTGGAAAATGAGCATTTCTTGCTCAGTTTCCATATTTAAGTTTTGAAATTAGGATATTCACCTTGGAGATAGCAAAATATCTTTTCTTGATCTGAAAATCATGAACAGGCATACAGATTCAACAGTTGAAGAAATGAACCTTCAGTTGTCTAGTTAGCTTATTGGGTTAAAGTCTTGCAAGTGTTTTGGCAAGTAACCCTGCAGTGTCAGCAGCCCAACCCAGTACTACTTTGATTTAAATTCTACAGGCAAATAACACACTTTTCTTTTAAAAGAAAACAAGGTGATTTTGGACCAGTTAATCTGGCCTTGAGCATATATATTCAAACAAGAAATGAAGATATGCAGAGAATGGTTATGCAAGTGTAAATCCTTGAAACTACCAGTTAGGAAATGAATAAGAATATTTAACTTAATTGATCAAAATTTGAATTTTAACACTTGCATGCTTCATGTTAGTCGTGAAGGGAATACGAGGTGAACCTGAAGACCAGAAACTAACTGTTCATTAAGAAAATCAAAAAAACATAAATAAAGTTGGCTGGTTCACAACGCGATGTGAACAGTGTTGAATTGGGGTGGACAAACTCAGAAGCCACACGACACCAAGTTATAGTCCAACAGGTTTATTTGAAATCGCAAGCTTTCAGAGTGCTGCTCCTTTATCAGGTGAAGTGGAGGGAAGCATATAGGTGCAGAATTTAGAGGTGGAGGGATAATTACCTAGAATTATCTTGTAATTAAGAGTGTCAAAAGATAAGTACAAATAGTGTGAGTGGTGTATCGCCGGCTGAAGAACAAGTTTTTTGCTGGTGATCAAAAGTGTCAAATGGTGTGAGTAAACTGTCAACATATGCATAGCTTTCAAACAACTGCCAAACCTCAAACAGACCATCATTTGCAGCAAACTACTCAGCCTTCATTAGAACGGCGACCACATCACCACACAACCCTGCAATGGCAACCTTTGCAAGACATGCCATATCATCTACATGGAGACTACCACCACACGTGGGAAGACCACGTACACGGTGGATACTGATGTGACTCAGCCAATGTTGTCGATCTCATACACGACAGGAAAGGATGCCTTGAGGCATGCTATATTGGCAAAAGCATGCAGACGCTATGACAATGGATGAATGGACACCATGCAGCAATCGCCAGACAGGAAAGTTCCCTCCCAGTCAGGGAACACTTCAGTGGTCAACAAGAGTCAGCCTCCTACATTCAGGTAAACATCCTCCAAGGCAGCTTTCAAGATACACAAGAACACAGAATCGCTGAACGTAAACTGATAGCCAAGTTCCGTACCCATGAAGATGGCCTCAACTGTGGTCTTGGCTTCACGTCGCACTACATATAACCCCACCATACTTTTCTGTATTTGTAAAATCTTCCTTATTGTTCTGTTTAGACACTGTCACCTTAATAACTTGTTATTATCTCTCTACCTTAATTAGTTTGTACAGTTTTGGATTACTTGTTACTTTGGTTAGACCCTTGTCATGAAACTCTTATACCTATCATGTTATTCCAGCCATTTTGCTTGTCTCTAGCACCGTCTTGTTTTTAAATTTTTTTGTAATTACCTCTCTGCCTTAATTAATTGGACTGTAGGCCATCTGTTCACTTGCTATTCAGGTGTTGACACTTTACTCACACCATCTGACATTTTTGATCACTTGCAAAGACTTGTTATTCAGCCTGGTGACACTGTTCTCATACCATTTGTACTATCTTTTGACACTCTTAATTACCTAGAATTATCTTGTAATTATCTCTCTGCCTATTTATTCTGTGTCTGTGTGCTTCTCTCCCCTTCACCTGATGGAGGAACAGTGCTCCAAAGTGTGTGATTTCAAATAAACCTGTTGGACCATAACCTGGTGTCATATGACTTCTGACTTTCACAACATAATGACCGTGGAATTGATTAAGAAATTTATCTTGCAGATCAATTAATTTCTGTGATGTGGCTGTCACTGGTACAGAGATAGTAGGAACTGCAGATGCTGGAGAATCCGAGACAACAAGGTGCAGGGCTGGATAAACACAGCAGGCCAAGCAGCATCTTAGGAGCAGAAAGGCTGATGTTT